TAAGCCCAAGGGGCACTGAGAATCTTCCAACAGCTGACCAACCTCTTCCCTAAACCATAGAAATACTTGTTATGCATCTTTAGAAACTTGATCAATGATCCAAACAACAGAAGGAACAAATGAATCTGATTGGTTGGACTGAAAACCTTGTATTGCATATCAATTGACAATGATGGAACATTCAAAGAAGACCCCAATCTCTAAATCCTGATTGGTGAAAATTGTAACTGTAACTTGGCAACAAATGTTTATGAACTTTACACTTCTGCCCTGCTTGGTGCTAACAGGAGAAATCAGTCTCCTAAGTTCTTGTCTTGCAACTCTGATCCATCAGTGATCTGCTAATGTGGTGATTTAATAAAATCTTTGAAACCCACAAGTGTTAACTCTCTCCTTTGTGGCACATAACCAGCTGGATGTAACATTCAGAGATTCCACTGAGATGTCTCACTGAGGAATGGGATAGAGGTGCCCCATGGGCAGAGGCTTATTCAGTCATCTTCAAGGAAGGTTTCTTGTGTAGAAGACAGCAACAAATCAGAGACCCACAGCCAGATGTTATGCAGTGAGAGAGACCTTGGAGAACACACCTCTAATTGGGATGTCTCCATCAGATCCCTTCCCTCAGCATTCAGGGGACCCTGAAGACAAGGAGACAAATGGAGTTTAAGAGCCAGAGGATGGAGGGCATGAGGAGAACAATGCCCTCTAAATCAACTGAGCAAATCTCATATGAATTCACAGAGACTGCAGCAGTAAACACGGGACTGAAATGGGCCAGCAGCAAGATCACTGTGTATATTATAGGTATAAGTTTAGTGTGAACAAGTGGTTCTCTGATTCTTGTGACTTCTCTTGAGGGTCTTTTCCTTGGGTTGGTTTGCCTTGTCCAATGTTATGGTTTTTGTTTTATCTTATTTTATTCCTTTTTGTCAAAAAAGAGATTTGATATACTTGATACACATAAATATTTGTATCATGAGTATAAACAGAATACAGATTTTTTAGGTACATAAAACATCTCTATACTTGGCAGTATAGCAAGTCTTATCAATTTTCTGTTTCAATTAGTGTTGGGGGAAGTCCTGTGCATTTGTCAATAAAGCACTGCTGGCCTATAGGGAACCAAGAGAGGTGGGACTAGGAGTCCAGGAGGACTCTGGGAAGGAGGAACACAGAGAGTCAACTTGTAACACCATGGGGTAGGAAGCCTGGAACTATTCTCTGGTAAGAAACATACTTAGATCAACAATTATGGGGTAATTACTTAAGTCAGAGCTAGCCAGTAAGAGACAAGCAAGGCCAACAGCTTCATAACTAATATAGCCTCCTGTGTGTTTATTTGGGACTGATGCGGCTCTAGAACCAAGCTGGTGGGAAGGCTTCTCTCAAGGAAAAAGCTTCTCTTTACAAATTAGAGATCTAGTTTTTGTTTTAGATATACAGGAATTAAATAGCTAACATTACATGAGAAATAGTGAGTCCAAAAATATTTTTCAGGATAACTCATCTCAGTCACTTACAAACTACGTTTTCTTTTTTTATTATTATTTTTATTTTATTTAAATTAGAAACAAGTTTGTTTCATATATCAATCCCATTTCCCTCTCCCTACCCTTCACTCTGCCCCCACTAACCACTATCCCATCCTCTTTCTGAAGAAGATGGCTCTATTTCCTCTAGTGAGTCTTCAACAGCTGAGATTCTCTCTTCCATCTCTTGTATTCTATTGGTTATACTTACATCTGTATTTCCTGATCATTTACCCAGCTTTTCTATTTCCAGCATTCCCTCAGTTTGTGTTTTCTTTATTGTCTCTATTTCAGTATTCAGGTCTTGAACTGTTTGAATTGTTGCCTACATCTGTTTGATTGTTTCTCTTGGCTTTCCTTGCTTTCTCTAAGAGATTTGCTGATTTCTTGCATTTTTGGTTTGCTTTTTCATCCATTTCTTTAAGGAATTTTCTCATATTCTCTTTGAAGGCCTCTATCATTTTCATGAAGTTGCTTTTAAGGTCCTTCTCTTCTGATTCATCTGGTTTGGGATGTTCAGGTCTTGCTCGTGTAGAGTCCCTCGACTCTGGTGGTGTCATATTGGTTTTTCTGTTGTTGAATATGTTTTTATATTGTCATCTTCCAGTGGGTCCACATGGGGTCTCTTCCTTTCCTTGTGGGTGTGGCTTCATGGTTTTCTTCCAGTGGATTCAAGCAGGTCAGTACTCCAATGGGTGTCACCAAGACAGAGGTGTGGTCAGACTCTGGGTGGTCCTTTCTGCTGGGGTGGGTCCACTCTAGGCTCAGAGAAGACCCAGGAATATTCAAGGAGGGGAATGTAGGGAGTTGGGGCCCTGAGCATAGGCCACAATCACCTCAACCAGAAGGTGCTTTAGGCAGAAACACATCTTTACATTGTAAAAAATATTTTGTCACATGTATTAATGTACATGTATAGAAATGACATAAGTATCAGTCAATAATTTTAACATGCTTAAAAAGGAAACGCTTCAGTTTTCCAGTTAATATACTCACCCTCCAATAAATATGTTTAAATATGGTTAGAAAACATGCAAAAAGTATCTACAAATGCTTGACACTCTGCAAAAGCCACAGCTGAAGCTATTATCCTTATGATGTACATCACTAGAACCATTTTAATTTCTATGACACTGAACTCTTCTATTCCTTCATTTTCTAAGAACAATTGACTCTGCCTGCCTGTCCTGAGGAGGGCTCTTGGGTATCATTGCTCTGGCAGGTGGTTTTCATTTGCCTGCCTAGAGATGCTGGCATTCCTGAATCTCCTTCACAGCCAGGTCCCCAGTGCTGCCTGCATCTGACACAATGGTTTGCTACCTCCTGGAATATGTGGTCCTAACAGCACAACACAGTTTTTTTTCCTTCAACTTTCAGATCTGTGGTGTCTCAAATGTAAATTGTATTTTTAAGTAACTAGCTTAAAAATGCTTAACTGGAACAATATGTGTTGCTCATTTAACCTCTGACAAAGGAACTGAATTGGAATGGGACCTCATTGCAAAACCCTGACAGCTGCTGCCTAGGTTTAGTTTCCTAAGCAACCTGGAAACTTAATTATATCCCAACAACAAGGATGGGCATTTAGAAAAGGGGAGATTTAGTAGAATTACTATCATCAAGGATCTATGAACTGAGATTATTGATGGGGGAAAAGGAAACATGAGAAAATGCAATATGTTGACGAGGAAAAAATAGCGTTGAACAGATTTGAAAACAGTGTTCTTGGAATTTAGAATTTTAAATCTTTGTTAGGTTGTTTTCAGGAAGAGGTGAGATGGCAAACATTTAAATGTTCAGCTTCAGTAATATTGCCTCAGATAGCATGACACCTAACACCTGTTGAAATTTAGGGAGGCATTCCTCTGAGAAATACCCGTGGATCTGTCCTGTGAAAAATGGATTGAATTTAGATAAGAATAAGTTAACCTACATTTATGATCATGCATTTTTTCTATGTATATTTTACTCACTTGCCATCACTATTTACTTTACCCTTCCTGATGTTCCCAGTGTCATGCTGTCTCCCCACAACACGCATGAACACTAGCTCTTGGTAGAATTGGGGAATTATGAACAATCTAGATCCTCACCTTATTATAAATATGTTTAAGGCAACCTCAAAACATTGCTCTTTTTATGCTCAAATAAAAAAAAGTCCTTGGAGATTAGATTCTCAAGTAGACTTCCAACTAACTCATTACACTTGAAGTATCCTCTCTCTGTGTTGCTGAATGATCAAAGGGTTCTGCTTCACCGCTTCCCACAGAAGGACTTTGGCCACCTTTGTGAACCAGAGTTCCCATCCTTGTATATCCAACTCTTTTTCCCAGCTATTTCTCTTTATTTTAGAACTTTTGATATCTTAAATAGATGTCACTCTCCTCGTTTTTGGATATTCTCTGGAATTATTTTATGTATTTCTCCAATCAGTTTTCAGCTTCTGTGGAGTAAGATGTTTGGAAACCAGAGTCTTATCTCCTCCAACGTCACATTTGCCCGCTTGTGGTTTTTAGCCTTTCCTTCAATTTGCTTCCTATTGTGGACTAAAAGTGTTCACTATTTTTTTATTTGATAAAATCCCCAAATAAAAAAGGTCCACTCATTATTGCCATATACTTATCAGTAACATGTATACCTTTGCCATTTTAATCAATTCATTTCACTACTGGGAAAACAATATGGCTTGGGACTTAACTCAAGAGCACTTGAACTCTGTTCTCTTTGGGCACAACCTGCACTTGCTTACTCGTCTTAGCAACCTGGAGGCAAGAATAGTAGTGCTGTGCTGTCCACATCTACTTTACTTAAAATAAAATAGAAGAAATGATTAGTCAAGTATTTGTTCATATATGACTATACAACAAAGATTATTGTGCTTATTGAGGTCATCAAGCACACCCTGTCAATAGCCATATATTTTCAACTTTCAAGTTTCTCTTTCCATAATTTATTTTTTGTTTTTGATTTTTGTTTTTCGAAAATCTTTCTTTCCTCGGTGGAGACTTTTAGAGAGATACAACTCTTATAATGATAGATTTATTCCTGAAGTACACTTGAGTTCTTTATTTGGATCTTCTTGAAATACCCAGGTGTTTTATGAAATAATAACATACACAGCTACTTCTGATGAAAATGTGCATGTTCTTCCCCCTTTTATTGGTTTAGATAAAATCTTTCTCAAAATTACTATTATCTTTATTTCTTCTCTTCTTCTCTAGTTTAGAGGCTAGTGTAGAAATTCTAAAGGCTTACCATATGGTTGATAAAAAGAGCTGAATATATACTAAGTATTTAAATTTGTTGATGTTGTAAAAACCAAAACATAGAAAATTTCCATAATTGTATTGGCAACAGAACTGTCTTAGGAGGAAGTTATTATAAATGTGTAAAAATAAATATGAATGTATCTAAAGTGTTACCAACAAATTTAATATTTGAAAAGCACATCAAGAATGAGCATGCTCCCTTTGCGTTCTCTCTCCCTCTCCCAACATGGCGGCCTCAGCAAAAAAGAAGAATAAGAAGGGGAAGACCATCTCCCTAACAGACTTTCTAGCTGAGGACGGGGGTACTGGTGGAGGAAGTACCTATGTCCCCAAGCCAGTCAGCTGGGCTGATGAAACAGATGATCTGGAAGGAGATGTGTCAACAACTTGGCAGAGTAACGACGATGATGTGTATAGGGCACCTCCAATTGACCGTTCCATCCTTCCCACTGCTCCACGGGCTGCTCGGGAACCCAATATTGACCGGAGCCGTCTTCCCAAATCACCACCCTACACTGCTTTCCTGGGGAACCTGCCCTATGATGTGACAGAAGACTCCATTAAGGAATTCTTTAGAGGATTAAATATCAGCGCTGTACGCTTACCACGTGAACCCAGCAATCCCGACAGGTTGAAAGGTTTTGGCTATGCAGAATTTGAAGACCTGGATTCTCTGCTCAGTGCTCTGAGTCTCAATGAAGAGTCTCTAGGTAACAGGCGAATTCGAGTGGACGTTGCTGACCAAGCACAGGATAAAGACCGGGATGATCGTTCTTTCGGTCGAGATAGAAATCGGGACTCTGACAAAACAGACACAGACTGGAGGGCCCGTCCTGCCACAGACAGCTTTGATGACTACCCACCTAGAATAGGGGATGATAGCTTTGGAGACAAGTATCGAGATCGTTATGATTCAGACCGGTATCGGGATGGATATCCGGACGGGTATCAGGATGGCCCACGCAGAGATATGGATCGTTATGGGGGCCGGGATCGCTATGATGACCGAGGCAGCAGAGACTATGACCGAGGCTATGACTCCAGGATAGGCAGTGGCAGAAGAGCATTTGGTAGTGGGTACCGCAGAGATGATGACTACAGAGGAGGTGGGGACCGCTATGAAGACCGGTATGACAGAAGGGACAATCGGTCCTGAAGCTCCAGGGACGATTACTCTCGGGATGATTATAGACATGATGACAGAGGTCCCCCCAAAGACCCAAACTGAATCTAAAACCTCGGAGTACTCCTAAGGAAGATGATTCCTCTGCTAGCACCTCCCAGTCCAGCCGAGCAGCTTCTATCTTTGGAGGGGCAAAGCCTGTCTACACAGCTGCTGGAGAAAGAGAGGTAGAAGAGCGGCTACAGAAGGAGCAAGAGAAGTTGCAGCGGCAGCTGGATGAGCCAAAACTAGACCGCCGGCCACGGGAGAGACACCTAAGTTGGCGAAGTGAAGAAACTCAGGAAAGAGAAAGGTCGAGGACAGGAAGTGAGTCATCTCAGACTGGGACCTCAGCCACATCTGGCAGAAATACACGAAGGAGAGAGAGTGAGAAGTCTCTAGAAAATGAAACCCTCAATAAAGAAGAAGACTGTCACTCTTCAACCTCCAAACCTTCTAAACCTGATCAGCCTCTAAAGGTAATGCCAGCCCCTCCACCAAAGGAGAATGCGTGGGTGAAGCGAAGCTCTAACCCTCCTGCTCGATCTCAGAGCTCAGACACAGAGCAGCAGTCCCCTACAAGTGGTGGAGGGAAAGTAGCTCCAGCTCAGCACTCTGAGGATGGACCGTCAAGAAAAGATGAAAATAAAATAGATGGGTTAAGTGTCCCAAAAGGCCAAACTGGGATCTCAAGTCGTGGTCCTGGAGATGGGGGGAACAAAGACCACTGGAAGGAGTTGGATAGGAAAGATGGCAGAAAAGATCAAGACTCCAGATCTGCACCTGAGCCAAAGAAATCTGAGGAGAACCCAGCCTCTAAGTTTAGTTCTGCGAGCAAGTATGCTGCTCTCTCTGTGGATGGTGAAGATGAGGATGAGGGAGATGACCAGGCTGAGTAGACCTCCTCGTGCTGTGCTTTCTTCTAGTCTCCACCCCGGAAGATTCGAGAGCAAATCAAACCTCTATCCAGACAAGAAAAAATAAAACTCACCATCTCCTGAAGACCTTTCTTAACTTTTTTTTAATGAAATGAAAATGTTTTGCATGCTGCTGCAGCCTTTTAAAGTACTGAAGTAATTGGAAAATCACCATTGTAGCCAGAGAGATGTGGCTACCGCTTTTGAATGGGGAAGTTATGGTGTGTTCTGATGATACCAAGTGGCTACCTTTGTGACTAGTGCCTGGGGCTCCATTCAGCAGAAATGTAGTGACAGTGAGACTCGGTCGCATCAGTTAGGCAGTAGAGAAAGGTACAGGGAAGAGTGAGAGTTCTACCTTGTAATTCTTATCCTGTGGTGGCACCTATGAATTCCCAAACATCATCTGAACAAATTTCCCATCCTTGGAAAGGTAGATTTAGTCTCTCAAGTTATTTTAGTCTCCAGGAGGCTGCCAGCCATTCTACTTCAATTCAGACTTAACTGGGGCCAGCCTAGGAGGAGCTGTGTTTTGTTTGTTTTTTTACCCCCCAAGGGGGTAGTTGGGAGTGAGTCTACAGGCCACTAACAAGTAGTACCTCTGGGGACCAAAACGAATGGGAAACTCAATCGTGGTTTGAAAAGCTTTGGGGAAATGATTGGTTATTTCATGCCAGGTAGTAAGGGAAAATGGTGTGACCTCCAATAGACATGTGAATAGAACAATCATTTCCTGGATGAGGAAGCACTTAGTGATCATGGGAAATTCCAGTCTTCTAAAATCTGTCCTTTCTAAACTTTTGAATATATCCACATTCTTTCCAAACTTTGTCACTCTGGTCATCTCAAGTTCTTGATGACCCAGTCAGCCTTCCAAAAGCCATCTCTGTAAGTCACACACCTGCTCTCACAGCTTTTTTTTTATCTTGGCCACCAGAAGTTGTGGCCTGGGGAATCACTGCTTTTGTCAAACAGACCAGCTCTATGGTGTCTTTAATTCCTGCTCCTGCTGCTTTCACCCCCTTGGAGGTCAGAGTATTTCTGTTGATGGACTTGGGTGGTGAATGGGGGCACGTAAATGGAAAAGTTGAGTTAAAGGTCTTCAGCCTTGATTGGGTGTTAAAGATTTCTATGTTTCCTTCACTGGAACTCTATGCTGGTGCTTGGGTTTATAATGTGACCTAGACTGTGCTTTTCTGCTTAGGGGGGGGGTTGGTTTCTTGACTTCCTTCAAGAATAAAGGATGATGTAGAGAACTATTGAGTAAGGTCTGGCTTCTCTTGAGCACAGTAGCTTGGCCTGTCTGCTTTGATCTGCTCCTTGACAAATAGCTTCCCTTTTGTGGGACATCAGGTACTTGCAGGCAAATGAGACCTAGTCTTAATGTGCAAACCCTAGACCTGCTCTGCAAGAGCGTTGGTTTCGTGGGCTGCAGCAGTGGGCATAGCAAGTCGGTCATCCAGTGGACTTGATTGGCTAGTAGCTAGGAAGTGGGCTTTTAGAGAGACCCGCCATTGAATGGGTTTTTTTTAAACCTTTGGTTGTAGACAATGAAAAGGTAGTTTCCCTCTTCATGTCTATTTCCCTTCCAGATAGTTGCATCCAGAAGAAGGCTGTTCTGTCCCATACTCTCCTACTTTGCTCCTCTGTTAAAATAAAAACAGGGGTTGACTTATGTCCCACTCCTGAATACATGTAAAATTTGTACAAAAATATCTTCTATGAAAATGATTTGTAATCTGTAGACATTACTTGGGAGATGTCTTGAGATGTAAAATCCCATCCTTTGGGTTGAGGGTTTTTTTGTTTTTCTCCAAATAAACCCAGTCTTTAAAGTTGAAAAAAAAAAAGAATGAGCATGCTGAAAACAGGGGGAGTTTAAGTCAGATGTGTTCTGAATGTAACTGACTCTAGAAGGATGAAGATGTTGGAAAGACAACAAATTCAAATCATGCATACTATTAATGCTGTAGTTTGTACCTTGGTTTGCCATCTCCCTGTTTTTCTTCCTCGGACTTCCATATCTGGTTTCCATTTCATCCACTGTGTCTATGCACACCGAACATGGTTTATTTCAAAACCTTTCTAAGAATCAGATGCAGGGCATAAAGTTATTGAGGCATGAGTCCACAAAGCCTCACTTAGTGAACATACAGTGATGTTCCAAATCCGATTACTACTAAGTGAGAGTAATGTCTTTTCTTTCTGTGTTATCAAATTAGAGAGCCTATGATTTGGCCCACTGAGCATTCAGGCATCCAAGTTCTCTACATTTAGAAATATCAGAATTTACGGTTACAGTAGAGCTTACCTGATCCAAGTTCTCATTATTTTGAGGACAAAGAGGGATAGGTGGATCCAGTGTAAAATATCTCCAGTTTAGATTTTTATTTTTCCTATATCACATTAGCCTTAATAATATCAATAACTTCTCTTTCCTTTCACTATAAATAAGGAGCATGGTGTTATAAGAATGGTCTCTAACTCCTACCTCTAATACCTATTAACATTAGGGCTGTTAACCCCCCTCATTCAAGCTGTATGCTCCTAACTTAGAGAGAAGTTATGTGGGTTGTCTTCTTATCATATGACCACATTCCTAACAAGCAACATAAGGAAAGAATAATTTATTTTAGCTTGTGGCTTGATAGAACACAGTCCATTATGATAGGAGAGGCATGGAAGCAGGGGCTTCCATGACAACAAGAGCATGCTGCTATGATTTTTCATCTCTTCATATCTTAGTGGCACAGGAAACAGAGAAGTCATAAGAAGTGGATGGATTATAAACCTCAAGGTCTAGCCACCCCGAGTTTCTAACTATGTCACATCTCCTAAAGGTTCCACAATCTTCTCAAACACTACTACCAGATGGGTACCAAATGTTCAAGCATATGAGCATTTGGGGCACATGTTATAACCAAGACATATGAGCTGTCATAATACCAGTATTAGGGAGTTGTGATGAACATTAAATTGGATAATGAATAATAATTTTAGCAAAGTCCATACACATAATAAAACAAATGTAAGATATTATCATTTGTATAAGCTAAGCTTGCTTAGTATGGAAATTAAGCAATGCTGGAAAAAATAAGGGGATGTATTAAGGCAAAGTTTCTGTAACTTCAGATATTATGATGGTATACTTAAGAGAACCCACAAATTTGATCAGGAAATTCCTACAGCTGATAAATACCTTCATTAAAGTGGCTGGATACAAGATAGACCCAAAGCAATCTTGTATGCAAGATTGTATCTCTTTTGTATACAAATAACAAGCAGACTGAGAAAGAAATCAGGGACAACATTCTTCATAATAGCCATAAACAATACAAATATCTTGGAGTAACTCTAGCCAAGAAAGTGAAAGACTTATATGATAAAGACTTCAAGTTTTGAAAAAAGAAATTAAAGAAGATATCAGAAGATGGAAAGATCTCCCATTCTCATGGATCAGTAGGATTAACATAGGAAAAAATGGTCATTTTACCAAAAGCAATCTACACATTCTATGCAAGTCCCATAAAAATTCCAACACAATTTTAACAGACCTTGAAATGCAATACTCAATTTCAAATGAAAAAACAAAAATCCCAGGATAGTTAAAACAACCCCAAACAATAAATAAAAGAACTCCCAGAATTATCACCCTTCCTGATTTCAAACTGTACTACAAGGTCACAGTAATAAAAACTGCATGGTATTGGCATAAAAACAGAAAGATTGATCAATGGAATTGAGTTGAAGATCCGTATACAAATCCACACACCTGTGGACACTGATATTTGATAAAGAAGCCAGAAAAACACAATGGAAAAAAAAGAAAGGCTCTTCAACAATGATGCTGGTCTAACTGAGTATCTGCATACAGAAGAATTTACTCTGCATAAAACTCAAGTACAAATGTCTCAAAGATCTCAAAATAAAACCAAATACACTGAATCTAAAAGAAGACAAAATGGGGAATAGACTCGAATGCACTGGAACAGAAAACCACTTCCAGAACAGAACAGTGATAGCACAGGTACTAAGATCAAACATTAATGAATGGGACATCATGAAACTGAAAAGCTTTTGTAAGGCAAAGGACATAACAGCAGCCTACAAAATGGGAAAAGATTTTCACCAACTCTACATTCAATAGAGGGCTAATATCCAAAATATATAGAAACTAGACATTAACAAATGAAATAATGCAATTAAAAATATGGGGTACAGATCTAAATACAGAATTTTCAGTAGAGGAATTTTGAATGGCTGAGAAACACTTAAAGAAATGTTCAACATCCTTAGCCATCAGGGAAATGCAAATAAAAACTACTTTGAGATTCCCTCTCACACCTGTCAGAATGGTTAAGATCAATAGCACAAGTGACAGCTCATGCTGGCAAGCATGTGGAGCAAAGAGAACACCCCTCCACTCCTGGTGGGAATACACTCTTGTTCAACCACTATGGAAATCAATATGGCCATTCCTGAGATAATCATGCTGAAATCAACAGACCCAGTAAGGATAGCTAACAAGGAGGGACCTAAGAAGAACTCATGAATCTCCCTGTAAAGAGGAAGGGGAATAGATTTTGTGGGTGGGCTGGGAGTAAATGGGAATGGGAACAGGAGTGATGGAAGGGATGAAGGGAGAGCGTATGAGAAGAGAAGAATAGAACTGGAGGGCATTTGAGGGCCACATGGAAACCTAGTGCAGTAGAAAGCCCCAGTAACCCTAGCTAGTACTCTTAGTAATGGAGGACACGAAGCCATCTTCTGTAAACAGGCAACTTCTGGTCTTGGTACTGGGACACCATTCTGTTTATAAAACCTTCGATCTACAATCTCTGCTGCCTTCAAGATGTGTTGGAGCAATGGAGGCACAGAATTTATGGGAAAGGCCAATCAAAGACTGGTCTAATTTGATGCTTATGCCATGAAAGGGACCCTTTGCCTGACACTACCTGGATAACCAAAGGCCAGAGACTGGATGTTTCAAAGACCTAGGATTAAAAAAATAAATGAAAGGAGTACCAGCCTACAATCCACAATGACAGAGAAGCTAGGAAACAAGTAGGACCCTAAGAGAGACAA